AAACAGTTTCAGAGGCTCCTGGGGCATATGGCACCTGCTGCCGCTGTCACGCCGCTCGGATTGCTTCATATGAGACTGCTTCAGTGTTGGCTTCACAACCAAGCCCCGAGATGGACTTTCGCCAGACTTTCAGCCTGTGGTCGGACCTTGCCTTTCTCCGGGCGGGAGTTCCCCTAGTGCAAGTGTCCAGGCATGTTGTTGTCTCAACAGATGCCTCTGCCATAGGCTGGGGGGGCCATGTGGTCGAACCTTGCCTTTCTTCGGGCGGGAGTTCCCCTAGTGCAAGTGTCCAGGCATGTTGTTGTCTCAACAGATGCCTCTGCCATAGGCTGGGGGGGCCATGTGCAACGGGCATGCAGCATCAGGCGCCTGGACAGGGCCTCGACTGCAGTGGCATATCAACTGCCTCGAGTTGCTAGCAGTATGGCTTGCTCTGCGCCGTTTCAAATCGCTGCTACACGACAAGCACGTACTGGTCCGGATGGACAATACTGCGACCGTTGCGTACATCAACCACCAGGGCGGTCTACGCGCCCGTCGCATGTCGCAACTCGCCCGCCATCTCCTCCTTTGGAGTCAGAAGCATCTGAGGTCCTGGGCAAGCTCAATCGTGCAGCCGACGAGCTCTCACGCTGGCCTGCCCATCCGGGAGAATGGCGACTCCACCCCGAGACGGTCCAGCTGATCTGGAGACGCTCAGGTAGACCCGTTTGCCTCTCTGGACACGTCCCATTGCAAGTATGCGTTTCCCCCAGTGAGCCTTCTCGCACAGACACTGTGCAAGGTCAGGGAGGACGAGGAGCAAGTCCTCTTAGTAGCACCATACTGGCCCAATCGGACTTGGTTCCCAGAACTGATGCTCCTCGCGACAGTCCCTCCTTGGCATATTCCTCTGAGGAAGGATCTCCTTTCTCTGAGAGGGGGCACTCTCTGGCACCAGTGCCCAGGCCTGTGGAATCTCCACGTGTGGTCTCTGGATGGGACGCGGAGGTTCTAGGTGGTCTACCTCCAGCAGTAGTAAACACCATCACTTCAGCTAGAGCGCCCTCTACAAGACACGCTTACGTGCTGAAGTGGAACCTGTTCGTCGACTGGTGTTCTTCCTGGCGGGAAGACCCCCGTAGATGCCCGATCGTGGTCGTGCTCTCCTTTCTGCAAGTAGGGTTGGAGCGAAGGCTGTCTCCCTCCACCCTCAAAGTGTATGTCGCCGCTATTGCCGTGCATCACAATGCAGTGAACGGCAAGGCCATGGGGAAGCACGAGCTGGTCATCCGGTTCCTTAGGGGCACAAGGAGGCAGAATCCTCAGCACCCCAATTTGGTACCCGCTTGGGATCTTCCCTCGGTCCTGACAGCCTTGAAGGAGGAGCCCTTCGAACCCCTGCAGTCAGTAGAGCTTAAGTTTCTGTCGCTAAAGACAGTGGTCCTCACTGCACTGGCTTCGGTCAAGAGGGTGGGGGACCTGCAGGCATTTTCGGTTGACGATAGGTGCCTGGAATTCGGACCGGCCGACTCTCACGTTGTCCTGAGACCCTGGCCCGGATATGTGCTCAAAGTTCCCACCACACCTTTTAGGGATCAGGTGGTGAACTTGCAAGCGCTGCCCCGGGAGGAGGCAGACCCAGCCCTTGCTCTGCTCTGTCCCGTTCGCGCTTTGCGCAGAGCTTCAGGACCTCAGACCAGCTCTTTGTCTGCTTTGGAGGGCAGCAGAAGGGAAAGGCTGTCTCCAAACAAAGACTTGCCCACTGGATAGTGGAGGCTATAGTCTTAGCATACCAGGCCCAACGGTTACCGTGCCCCCTCGGGTGAGAGCACACTCAGCGAGAGGCGTGTCATCTTCCTAGGCACTGGCACGTGGCACCTCGATAGCAGACATCTGTAGAGCTGCCGGCTGGGCGACACCTAACACGTTTGCGAGATTCTATAATCTCCGTGTAGAGCCTGTGTCCTCCCGTGTACTTGCCTCAGGTGGCCAGTAACACTAGACCTGCTCGGTGTCCCCTCTATGGACCAGATATGTGTGCTTAAGTGCTTCTCAGTTCAGTTTCCCTTTTGGTGAACACTGTTGAAGTTCCTCCCGCACCCTCGGCGGTCAGGCGTGGCGGAGCTCTAGACGCCAGGTCCAGCACTCGTGTGTATGCCCAAGGTCAGCCCTTGTGCTGGGCTAGGTGCCCGTGTGTAGTGATTCCCCCTTTGGGTGATCCCACATGTTTATTCTTCCACGGTATGGCTCCCCTCACGGTAAGCCCGTGTCTTTCCCTGAGAATTCCCTGCCGTCTCTGCTACATATTGATCTCACCCCAGGCTGGCGGAGTCTACCACAGGGACTTTCCATATGTAGCACTGCCCTATGGCCAGTCCATATGTGTAATTTCCACATAATACCTCCTATATGCAGGATGTGTTCTACAAAAAGGGGCGCGCAACCGCTGTTTGTGCCGTAAACAAATTCTTCATGTCGCAAAATTCCCATGGCTTCCTTCATAAAAAAAAATTCTGCAGCAAGTTTCAAAAAGAGTTCCCCACATAATAAATATGACATGGCAAAAAAAAAAGTGAAGATTATCACACTGCCAATCAATCTATTATTGGGTTTTTAATTATTAACAGGGTACTCTCTACCAGCTGAAACACTGAAACATCATCTCTGTTGACTGCCATTTAAAAAGATCTCCTGACCGTTTCAAGACGGCAGCGCTGTTCACTTTGGAGTTCCAGCTGAGAAGTTACAAAGTAACAGTTTAGCACACAGCTGACACTCTGCAAGACATACCAGCATAATCTGTCTGTCCCACAGTGTGTGCACAACAACTCCATCTAGTGACCATAAAAATAAAATGCAAGAGAGCTTAATTTTTTTTTCAGTATGAACAGTGAACTCGATGATCTTACCCTCATATCTATGCAAATTAATGCACATAAAAAAAGTTTATAGACGTGTATATTTGTCAGCTTTGTGTTCTATACACGTTTTACAACTAAAATTAATCTCTCATAACCTATTGTGAATCTCAGGCATCCATATTTTACTATAAGAGCAAGCATACAATGTTATCATTTATATTCATTCATGCATTAATGCATGGTTTGGTATAATTTACCTTTCTAATACAACAATATAGAGTAAGGGTAGAGTGAGGTAAGCGAAGCGGTCAGTTTTGTTATCATAAAGACAGACAGATATAATACACTTGGAGACGTTTATTATATCTGCCATGTAGAAATGTATTTTTAATAAGAAACATGGTTTGAGCATAAAAGATGCTTATTTTTTATCAGTCATATGCAGCTATATTTGATGGGCCCTTTATTAACATATTGACAAAAATATTTGATTTTTCTAGATTAATTGGATGACACTGCCTACCCCACCCTCCCCTGTACGACAGAAAATCAAAGTAACCAGTATTTATTATTATATTCTTTTATTGATTTGTAAAACATTTGACCAATATTACATGAAATCAGAAACATGAATTTACAATACTTTATGATGTAAAAGAAAAAAAAGAAAACAAAACAGGCCATTTTTAACCGTTTCATGAATGGTCATATTCAACTGGTTTTGTCCTGGTGAGCAGGCATACTACTGTTAACCTGTAAACAGCTAGCATTTGTATTACAGTTTTCCTTACGATACCCATTCACTCAGAGACAGAAGTGCTTCTGCACTTATGAGCCATTTAGTGCCACAAACTTTCTATTGATCTCCTGTCCAATGGTGCCCAGACAGAAGAGGAGAGGTAAAGAGCACGTCTCTCTTCATTTTCTCTGTCACAGACGACTCTGTCACCGATTGCAATCCATCATCTACTCCATTTTAGGATTGACCTGGCATGAGGTATTGACTGTAGAGCGTATATGTGTTTTTGTACGAGGTAAAGCTTGAGCAAGTGTGATTTGTAGAGTAGATGATGTCCGCTTGACACGTCACTGTTCAAAAAGAGAAAAAGAGAGAAGGCCATGCTCTGACAGGTTTTGTGTAATTATTTTTGCGGAGCAGCAAAATCCAACTGTGCAGTCAGAATAAAGAAGGGGAGGGGCCTGAGGATGGCCAACCAATCCCAGCAGCAACTGAACACTGTCAATCATGGAAGTGTGTGACCACGCCTTAACAGCTCTCAGCTCTCTTGTGGAGGTGTCTGTCTGTCTGTCTGTCTGTCCATCCATGTATGTGAATGTTTCAACGTGTCAAAGAAAGCTAAAGATACAAATACTGTACACAGATAATAATAGTTTTAAAAAATCTGATAAAACAGCTGTTATGGCGTTGTTGTTAAGTGATATTCATACATGAGGTACTACTGGGTTGTCCATGTGAGCCACTGCACAGCAATAAATACAAACATGAATCATAAAAAAAAAATACAAATCAAATGTGTCTGTTCCCCAGAGAGGTAGTTTGTTATGGTTACATTTTGGACTCGGAAAAGAGACCAACATCAATTTCATCTTCGTCTTTCTCATGTCTCGCCATCATCATCATCACCATGCATACTGTATATTTTGCAACTGTTTAGACATGACCTGTTGTCCTGGTTTGTCTGATCTACATTTATGGTAATTGCTGCAGGGATATTCTCACTCGTTCATCACGAAATCAGAACGAAACAAGTAAGTGAATGATTACAAAAATGCTCAAGACTGGAAGATTTCATAGTTTTCCAGTTTAAAATTGAGTGTACACCCTCATTCCACAAAGTACTGAGCAGCTTAGTATAGAGAGAAGGCATGAAGACGATAAAATACACGAAAGAAAGCAACAAGATCATGAAAGAAAATTTATATATATATATATATATATATATATTCTGAGTGACCGCAGTTTCCAGGTAGTTCAGCTTACATGATCATTAAATCGTCGACCCAGTTCCGACACCAAACTCACACCTACAGACAATCTTCATTAACTATGATTAACTCTCATACCACAGAAAAGTTTTTCCTAATGACCCTGAGCCCTGACTGAGAAGACGATTCATACGAATCAGACGTGATTAAAAAAAAAACGAGTTAGTGGAGAAACCGGAGAGAACGAGATATATAAAGCAACACAGATAGCGCTCTGTAAGCATCAGCCCTCTATTGCGACTCAAGGAGCCCTTGACGACAGTCTCGCCAATATCACTTACAGATATTATACACAGTGGAGAAAAGGACTCTTACATACTTAAAAAGCATAAAAAGGTAAATTTAAATGAAGAACTGTGAACAGCTGAGGCCAAGCTAAGGCAGTTGTGTTTGGTTTAGAGGACACAATGCAGGCAGTGGCTAGTGTGACATTAACATGGTGTCCAAAGACATGCAAAAAAAGTCTATACAATAAAAATGTCTATACCAGGGTTGGCGAACGTCGGTCCCGGAGAGCCGCAGCTCTGCAGAGTTTTGCTTCAAACCTAATCAAACACCTGAACAAGCAAACCAAGGTCTGAACGGTAACTAGGAAGCTACAGGCAGGTGAGTTTTAATTAGGGTTGGAGCTGAACTCTGCAGGGCTGCGGCATGGTCTATACCATGGCCGACATGGTATTAGGTGTCTGTAATTACAGTTTAGATAATAATAACCAGCGTAAGACAAGAATGTGCTGAGTTGTGTTATGCTGTAATTAGAATATGTTTTGAAGGACCTCCCTGTGCCAACAAAATATAAAATATACCCAGGTAGCAGTTACTGATGATAAAAATTAAAATCATAAATTATCCAGCATGCTGCTTTTCGAGTTATTTTAAAAACGTGAGAATCAAATAAGTTATTTCCCAATCAAAGCCATACAAACAGTCTCCCAAAACCTGTCAGGAAGATACACGGGTCATAGTTCACTCCAAAATTAAGTTTTTTTTTCAAAAAGTGCCATCAAGTATTCCAATTATTTTTATTTATTAAGAAAATGTTTTTTGAATACCATAATATGAAAACAATACTCATTAACGTAATATGAAGAAAAAAGATACATTATTTAAAACGTAAAGAATACATAATTGTAATATGGATGATATTCATTATTATATTAAGAGTAATTAAAATTACATTCGGGGAGATTTTTTTCTTTTGGGTTGAAATATGACCCAGGCATCTTTATTTTAGCAGTGTAACTTGTGTGAAATGTACTATAAATAAAAAATGTATATAAGATAAAAAGCATTCAGGGTTTGTTTCATGATAGCTAACGAAGTGTAAAACTTTGTTAGGTAAAAATGTAATTAGTTGAACTAATCTGAAAAAGTGTTTCCAAAAAAAACATGAATGATGGAATGCAAGAGTTGAGAAATATGTAAGCCAAGGAACTTCACAACACTGTAAAGAAGGGAGGTAATGCTCTCAGTTCTTTAAAACATAATCCATGATTCCTGTATGCCTGCATAAATGCAGTTAGACCGCAGTCTTCGTTTACATATTCATCATGACCAGCCAGGGCTGTAGGGTCTCCCTCTGCTAGATTCTACCATTAGCCACAAGAAGCGCTTATATCAAACTCTATTTACACTGATTTGAAAAGGTTCGAATATAGATACGGAGTCTTATTTACAGGTTAGCTGAGTGGCGAGTGCTAATGCTGCACTGACCACTTTGCAGAGGCGTCAGGTTATTGGCCAATCACAGCACAGGCAAATAACAGTAGAGAAGACAGCCATTGTTCAGCAACCTATCAGAGCTCTGGAGGCAGAGGAAAGGGAGGCGGAGCTGCCGTTTGATTGGTTAAGTGGCTAGGCGAGGGGGTGAGTTTGAGCTGTGTGCTTGCATTAGTACTTTTAACCCTGTGCATTTAAAGGCAGGAGGTGAAGAGACAGGACATCAGCAGTAGTGGACAGCGCTTTGGGGACCATGCAGAGGTTTAGAATAGGACCGCACACTCACACACTCATCCTACACATGCAGTGTAATACTGTTGGCTATAGATAATACAGTAAAATATACTGTATCGAGTTGCCACAGTGAAAAACACCATGACCATATTACATTCTAATGAGAATGTCCTCCTTACATACAACAAACAAACAAACAGACACATCTATGGCACTCCCTAGCCGATCTGTAAATGATGAGGGAAACACACACACACACACACACACACACCACTCACAAACTTTGTCCTGGAAACTCTGTATGCGTTTAAGGTGATTGTCCGTACATTCACTCCACAACCCTCCGGGTCACGCCGTTTGACCCGCACGTCTTGTTCCGATTCGGGTGAAGTTGCTAAGTGACCTGTCCGCCGAACACCTCCAGCACCAGAGGGGTCAGCTGCATGCTGTGTTCGGGCTGGAAAGAGAGGGAGCGGTACTGTTTGGAGTGCTCTTCGTTCAGGCTGCGGAGGTCCGCCAGCTTCTGGATCATCTTAGCATAAAGCAGACGCCCCCCAGGGTGATGCGCACAGATGTACGCCTGCAGAACCTCAGATATTCTGTCCTGCAATGCTTCCACTCGCTCATGGTCCTGCACCCCGGGCCGGTCTATGAGCACACAAACACAGACAAGTGAGATTCCTGGTTGCATGTATGAAGTCTCAGTCTGTCTAATGCTTGGTGCATATGGTATATAAAAGCAGACCTGGAGACAGCAGGCAAATGGCCATCAGCAGCACATGTTCCTCCTCATGTAGGTTGAGCTTTTTCAAGCCCACCTGAAACTTCACCAGAGGCTCCAACAGCTCCAGAGAGTGTCCAGCTGCGCCCACAAACAGACAAAATCAGGAGGATTTCATTAGGCTCATTATTAACGGAGACTAACTACAGGCGTTGTTCATCACATCGACTATGGACAATGTTTGATAACCAGAAAGTGACTTATTTCATTTGTGACCCTGGACCACAAAACCAGTCTTAAGTCGCTTGGGTATATTTAAAACAAAACAAAACAAAAAAAAAACATTGTATGGGTCAAAATTATTGCTTTTTCTTTTATGCCAAAAAATCATTAGGATATTAAGTAAAGATCATGTTCCATGAAGATATTTTGTAAATTTCCTACCGTAAATATATCAAAACTTAATTTTTGATTAGTAATATGCATTGCTAAGAACTTTTGGACAACTTTAAAGGCGATTTTCTCAGTATTTTGATTTTTTTTGCACCCTCAGATTCTAGATTTTCAAATAGTCGTATCTCGGCCAAATATTGTCCTATCCTAACAAACAATACATCAATGGAAAGCTTATTTATTATTTATTCATGATGTATAAATCTCAATTTAAAAAATTGACCCTTATGACTGGTTTTGTGGTCCAGGGTCACATTTTTGAAAAATATAACTACTGTTTTGTAATTACGTAGTAATATTGATTATTATGTAATAATTATTATAATTAATTCATCATTCATTTAAACAATTTCATGAAACAACAATAATCAATACTTTCATGTATTGATCTATATTTATGCTAATTTCTAATGTTAACTTGTACATATACAGTTTAAACATTTAAAATGAATTAAATAAACAAGTATGAATTAATGTATAACATTAACTTATATAAATGCTGAAAAAAAATATTGTTAATTATTAGTTAATCATACCTAATACCTAATGCTTGTGAAGTACTATATTCTTTTGAAACAAAATGTCAGTTTTGTTAGTTTTATATTTTGTCAAAGATGTGAATACATTTTTAATCTTGGCTTAGTGTCCATATTTTTTGGAGCCACTATATGGTCTCCATGCATAAGACTGGGATAGAAAGTAAAATTAGTTTGAGAAAATAAATTTAAAAAATTCACCTTACACAACTTCAACAAAATTATCAAACCCTCTGCTGACATCAAATTAATTGCAAATGAAACCTTCTCTTTGCAATATACCAAGTAAACCTTCACAAAATATGTAACTATTCAGTGTTATTTTTGTATGCTATTATATTAATTATCAATTTTTTAAATTAGCTTCTAATTTTAGATTTTCAGTTTCTTTTTTGTAATTTTGCTTTGTAATTTTGTCTTTTTCTAAATATTTCTATTTAGTTTCTTTTTATTTTATTTCAGTTTTATTATTTTTAATACATCAAACATATTTTATTTCAGTTAGTTGCCAAGGCAACATTTATCATTTTCATTTAAGTTTATAATTTTTATTTCAGCTTTATTTCAATTAATACAATTTAATTTAGTTTTAGTAAACAATACCAAAAGTGCAACCACTGCTTGTCAACGCATGAAACAATGTATTTCTGTTTGCGTGTACCTTTCGTGACATCATTTACGCAGTATTTAAACTCGGGTCCTCCACAGCTCCAGCTCATGTCCTCCAGACTGAAAGACTGGTTGGACCTGAGCATGATCACTTCTATAGCACTGGACTTGAGCAAAGCAATCTGATCTTCAGCTGTCAGCTCTCTGAGACACACAAACAGACACAAACGCACACACGTCGAATGTTGGCTCATGCTGGATTCTGTGAATGGCAGATGTAGAGGGAGTGGGTACATTCAGTGCGGATAACATAACACTCCTATGGTTGCCACAGCAACATGCGGTCCATAATGCATATGCATGTACGCACTTTCTGAGGAAGCTCAGAAATACATGGAATTGCACAGAGGCAGGCAAGAAACATGTACTGAGAGTGACAATCTATAAGGTCAAACCTATTTTTATGTTCCTGAGGAAATTAAATAGAGGATAGTCATGTTAAAATTAGCCTGTTGGGAAAACAATGGAAATTTCCACAAAACAAGCCACTAAAATGGATGAAAGGAATGAGGAGAACATCTTTGCTCAGAACCCACAAAAATCTACATTTGAGGCCCTGTGAAATTAAAGGCATAATTTACCCAAAAATAAAAAATTTGCTTTACTCACCCTCCGTCCATTTAGGATGTAGGTGACTATTTGTCTGTAATTAGGTATTGACATAATGTATACTGTTTTATATTATTAAAGGGGTGGTTGCTTGCGATTTCACTTTTTTAACGATTGTTAGTGTGTAATGTTGCTGTTTGAGTATAAACAATATCTGCAAAGTTACGAAGCTGAAAGTTCAATGCAAATGGAGATATCGTCTTTTAAAATTCTGGCAGTTTAATGCCTACAAAAACGGCTGGTAGGGACTACAACAAGTTACTTCCCGGGTTCATGACGTAACAAACCCAGATAAACCCCGCCCTGGGGAAAAGGCTGCAAAGGGGGCGAGGCCATGCTGCGCTACTTTAGAGAAGAGGAAGAGAAAACGATTCTTCTAACGATTCTAATGGATTCACAAGTTTCAAAATCAATGTTCAAAAGCAGCGGTTCTTAATACTGTTCCTCGTGCCCGCTGCTCTGCACACGCTCTTGCATCTCTCTCTCTCTCATTCAGCTCAGCTCCAACAATGAACTGTTACAATTATACACTTATTTTCACATAGCTATGAGAAGCGTTAAACATGGACGTGCGTGCAGTTGCCGTACTGTATTAAAGCTTTAATCAGGATAAAACCGTATATTAAAAGCTAACATACGCAGTAGCATTTACAAATAACAGCATATCTAAAAGTATGAGACAACAACAAACAAAAAACATAGGCCTACCATTAAAAGCCGTGCTTGCACAGGTTCTGCACGATCCTCTTCAATAATATCCTCTGCTTCTCAGTCGGGCTCAAACTGATAAGCGATATTAATGACGCTGTTGTTTACAATACAACCGGAGTGCATGCCGCTGAGGTGAGGGGTGGGACGTTTAGACACGCACTAGAGGCGGTTGAGCCAATCACAACACACTGGGCTAGATAACCAATCAGAGCCCATCGCCTATTTCTGAGGGCAGAGCTTCATAAAAGCAGGAAATGATCAGTCATTTCTCAGACAAGGGACAGAGCGGTGTGGAATAAAGGTAAATTATGTAAAAAATAATGCCTTTTTTAAAAACTAAGCATTAACACACGTTAGACTGCACCCCATAAACACAATCAAGACTAAAAAAACCCCAGTGAACCACCCCTTTAAGCTCTTTAAAAACAGTATTGTGAAACATTATTACCATTTAAAAATAACAGTAGTATGTCAAAACGCAATTAAAGGCATCAGTTTCTCTGATTGAGAGAAAAGTCACATAACAAACGAAGAGAGAAACAACATTAACTGTCTCTCATTAGTTAGGGAGCAGTACTTTACCTGTTTCTCTGTCCTCGCTGCTGCAGTTGATACAGTGTCATGATTTTTGTGTTCATCCACCAAACACAGCACACAGATACACCGGTGATCGGTACGGCAGTAAACTTCCAGCATTTTATCATGTTGAGGGCACATCATCTCCTGCAGTCGTCCAGTGGCATCCATAAGATTTTTCTCAGAGAAGGGACAGAGCGGTGTGGAATAAAGGTAAATTATGTAAAAATAAATAAATAAATAAATAAATAAAAATCTTTTTTTTTTTTTTTTAAATGAAGCATTAACACATGTTAGACTGCACCCCATAAACACAATCAAGCCTAGAAAAAAAAC